TTGTACTAATTTTATTTGATTGAACTAAAAAAAATATTTGCAATAGCACTAATATAAAATAACAACTCCCATTCAAATAGTTGTAATGAAGCATTAATTCACTTTCTCATTCAATTAATATCCAATCACCATTACCCACAAAATTAACATATCCAAAATCTAAAAATCATGTTTTAACGTTAGCCACAAACTAACATATATCCAAAAATCATGTCTTAGCATTAAAGTTGTAGTCTTCATTGGTCTACATGCTTACATCATAACATAAACTGTAATAAGATTCACCAAAATAAACACAAATTGAAGAATTCGTACCCAATACTTAGCAAAACACCATTCTTTCTAAAAAAATTGCAAAAATAAAAATAAAAAATGAACCCGGAAAGATCTTCATATGCCAGACTAAATGTTTACCAATTCAAAGAGCACCCTGTAGGGAACGCAATGCCTGCTTGTAGACTATTCTCCCATATCACCTTACGGACGGTATTCTCCAGGGTTTCACATAAGTCAATCATTAACATCCCAGGCTTCAAAATACCTTTGATGTATTTTCGAACCTAAAAGCAGGCAAACAAAACGTTTTATGTGATAAACCAGATGTAGAAATCCTCACTGAAGTTTTCGCCAGCATTAACAGAAAGTAGATTCCTTTGTTTCTATATTAGCAGTTGTATGTGCATTGTTTCATATAAGAGCAATTAGAAAATAGAAACCTGATGATGAACTTCTGCAGCTCAACTAACAGAATTATATATGGGTTTTTCCAGACGCTCCAACTCTCTCTTTTCTTCAGATGTAGTCCTCCATAGGTTACTGAAACAGAACCAACAACAATGAAAATCAAGCCACAAAATCAATGGAAATAAAAAAGGGATGCAAAATAAGTAAGGGGGAATCACAATGGTAAATGTAAACATGGCTAATAAGAGACCCAAAATTAAGGTTCCCTACCATAAACAAAAGCATTTATATTGAAGTGATCCAAAGTACACAATTATGCCTCAAACTACTACTAACCAACACTAAGCATAAACAATGGTAAAAAATCCTACTACAAAAACCTTCATTGAAAACATCAGCCAACTAATCTCTTGATTTCACAAAAAGGAATTGAAATCAATCCTCTATTGTCAGTGTAGCAACCTGCTCACACAAACGGAAAGTTTATTCTAAAGGTCATTCTTCAAGTAACTAGGACTTAGGATGCACTTGCCTGGAAAAAATAAAGAAAAGAATAGAAAATAGCAGTTCACTTACCAACTGAGCAACAACAAAAGCCACCACTAGCAAAAGGCCAGGACGTTCAACGAAAGACCAACTCCTAGAACGTGTCACAAATATTAGGGCCTGACTGATGATACTCACTTATTAATATAATCACCTCAATCAAATTCAGATTTAGATAAATAATCTATAGTGTAATGGATCAGAACAATAAATGCACAACCAAAAAGAACATACGTTGTTGCATAATGCTCAACCAGAACATGCCCAGCACTAAGTGCAGCTTCACGAACAGATTCATTCTCATCAGCAAGGCCTGCATATGGTAGAAGGAGACAACAGACTCAAATTATAGGGCCAAGAAATAGGTGGAGACAGTGAGTATATAACATGTAAAAAAGACATAATATCAAACATATACAGACACAGAAAAACAAAACATGAGAAAAACAATACTTACCATCTAGGATTGCAGGCAACACCTGCTGCAAATAGTTCTGGAATTGGACACCTAATGACCTTGGGAAATACTGCAAAAGAAATTCAATTAGAAGGCAATAATAAAAGACTTCCTATAAAACAAATACTACCAGAACATACACCAAATAATCAATTTCTTCTCCTCACCTTGAAAAGTGTCAAATAACCATCACGCACGGATGCTTTTTGATGAGAACAGTTCCGAATGATATCAGGAAGTATCTGCTCAAAATAATCCTTTCCTAGTGCAGCCAAAATCTAGAGAAGAAAAAGACAACAGCCTCTCAAAAACTACATTCAAATAAACACAGGTCTCAAAAATGACACAAACAAAAAACAGACATCATCGAAGTACTAGTGTTGTAATGACAAAACACAAAATGCAACTAAAGTCCAGGCATTTATGCAGCAACTAAACAAATGTTTTAACAGTAATGCCTAGAAGGGGGGTCTGGGTCTCTACACACTCGTGCTGTTTTCAGATTCAGAAATTAAAATCCTAGATTGTATTTGGCAGGCCAATAGCACAAGTGTTTGGGTGCACAGTGTCTATGTCAAGTCATAGCAACACAGATAACTCGCATCATTCTGCTGAAAATACAAGCTTTGATCCCAAGACTGCATAACAGTGTAATCAATTACTTAATTCAGACCCAAAATTCCGGCCTTGTTTCCATTGATTATATAATATAGACAGGTTATAGTAGTTTTTTGTTCTCATATTCGTCGTTCATATTGAATTATATATTTCTGTTATTTCCTAAAAGACAATTCGATTTTGAAAATACGACTGCTATTATTCGAACAAAATCAAGGTCACTCAAGTTGGTGGATGATGCGAAATTATATGAAAAACTTAGACATGAACCAATTAGATGCTGATGATTAATATAAAAAAAATCAAAAAAGAGTTAGAATAAAAAGAAAAACAACGAAAAGAAAAATCAAACACAAATAGTAAACTCTAACCTCACTTAGTCCTTGAGCAGCTCCAGAGCGTTCAACGTTACTACCATCAGACTTGAGTGTCTCTAACAACCATGAAACAAGATCTGGGAAGTTTTCTTCTCCCATTCCTCTTATGAGAGAACCAAGGGCCCTTGCAGCAACAGACCGAACTTCAGGGATTGGATCCACAAGAACCTGTTTCATCAGGAACATGGAAAGATAGTAAATTTGCCATTCTTCTATAAAAAAAAATGTCTTACAGATAGAAAACCATGTACAGGAAGCAAAATGCCTATAAGATATATATCCGTTGGGTCAACATGTAAGATTCTAGAGTGTAAAATGGTACCTTTTTTACTTCAGGAAGGAGTAAACCTATGTAAGGAATCATATCCTTCGGTTCAGTCACTCAAGAGCACATGTTTCCAACTATCTGGGCAGCTTTCTTTTTAGTTTCAGCACTCCTCTCTCTTAGCCCTCTATGAACTATTGGTACCAACAGTGCGAGTGAAGGAGCATCAATCGAATTGATAAATGTTGTCTGCAACCAATGAAACACATTTAAAGCTATTTTATTTTAAGGGGGAAAAAAAGGAACAGATGCATAAATCATAACAATTAATAGTAAAGTTCACATCCTTACTTGGAGAAGAATATCAAGGGAATGCTTCGTGTAGTCATTGGGGTCTGTAAGGCCCATTAGAAGTGTTGGGACAAGAGCAGCAATTTCTGGATTTTTAATCACATTCCCAACCTAGAAATAAAACAAAGACGTGATTACAAGAGCACAAAAAAACTACACAAGTACGCAAAAGTGAATGAGCACTAAACTAATAACACAAAGTACGACCTGCTGAAGGGCTGTTTGCCCCGCTGACTGAACTTTAGGATGGGTGTCTGTTAGCACCTGCAATCATAGAGAATTTATGTCTCCTCAAAGACGATGAAGTTACCAGTCAAATCAAAACTAGGAAGCCATAAGGTCATAATTCATTAAGATATACCTCTGTCAATTTTGGCACAATCTTAGGAAGGCATTGAGAAAGTTGCTGTGGAGCGCAGTAAGCCATAGCACCAAGAAGTTGAACACTACTTTGCTTTGTTCGCCAAGCTTTATCTTCAAGGCCCTATGGTAGTAACCACAGTCAAAATTGGCAATCAGACAATATGCTATACAACCACCTTAACTTTAAAAAGATGAAAAGAAATTAGACCTCAGCAAAATTATCCAATTTTTCAGAAAAGGTACAAAAATTTTAGACCCAACACAATGATTTTAGTCATTGCAATTTATCTATTAGTACAAAAGTACACAATGAAATAGAAAATTTCACAACAATCAACATTACAAAAACTCAACTATTTCTTGCAAGATTAGTAGATATCTGTCGAAATTGAGTGGCAATATAGTAGGATATCATATGATTCAGAGTTACATATTATGTTCCAATTTTACTACCACAAAACCAAAGAAAACTGGAAATGAAATTTGTAAATTATGCATCCTAATATTCCCATTTATACTCTTTTTTTTAAAATTACAAAAACATCAGCACATCTTTATCATAAATATCTTACTGCAACAATTGCATCAACAAAATAACCATGCACTCGCAGAGTTATTAATAAAACAAGCGCATCACAAAAGAACCATGCACCTTAAGAGTTATTACTACCTGCTAATGGAGAGTCTACCACCATCAAGCATCACCCTAGATGACCACATCAACAAAAAGAGATGATAGAAAAAATTGGATTAGACGATCAGTATAAAGCATTCTGAAAAGGTAATAATTCAGATGGAAATTGAAATCAATAAACATTTAAAAGTACCTTGGATGCAGCTACATATCCAAGCAGGGTTGCCAGCACAGCAGTGCTGCAAGGTGAAACGGCTAATGCGAATGTAAGCCCAGCCAAATATGCTTGCACACCTGACATGTCCAATTTTTTAAAATGTTATTTGCACTTTCAAGCTGTAAGCACATCCGAGAGCCAGCTAAACAACAGTGATGAATACTTGAGAATCTGATGGTAAAATTAGAAAGTCCATTACCTGAAGGGAAATTAGCAGCAGCAGCACGAGGATCAAAGTTGTTGCTTTGCTTTGCTACCATCATGTTATCTCAAGTCGTGCAAGGCTTACGAAACTTGATCATATTGAAAAGCATCCACATCACAGCCCAGACCATGAGCCAATCCTGGTTCTGAAAAAGTAATATTAACCAGACCATAACTATATATGTAAATAGATATGTGTTGGGTTGGGGCAGGTCACCTAGTTAAGTTCTCCACTGCCATTCTCATGCATTCCAAGCACAAATAGTGAATTGAGAGAGACAGAGAGAGCGAGAGAGAGAGAACGAACGATAATAATGAATTGAGAGATATGTTTCCATTACAGCACTGAAATAGGCTTCGAAATGAAGAGTTTCAGAGAGAGACAGAGAGACGATGGAGCTCACCTTAGTAGACGATGGTGCAGATGGTGTTTTGGAGCTTCGAAATCGAAACCGCTCTGAGATGAAATCACTGAGATCGATCTGAATCTCTGTGAATGATAAGCTTTTAGAGAGGGTTGACACAGAGAGAGAAACCAAAAAAGTGAAGTGTTAGTTAATTGTGGTTAATTAAGAATGCAATTTACACAGCTTATTTTGCAAATTCTTCCACATGGAACCATACAGAGACTTTGCAGTGGATATAGAAATGAAGTAAACAAAGAAGCCAAACCAGTAATTCATAGGTTTAAAATCAAACATAAAGCAAAAGAGATTAGGATGTTTGCGATTAAATTAATAGAAATAGAGCAGGGTTCACACTCTCATTCTTGAACTCTGAAAATTAGCTGAACAGTTGCGATTAAATTGTTACACCTACGGCTACGTCAATGTCACAATTGAGTTAAGAAAAAGAAACGAGATGAACTTAACTTTTCCCCAATTTTCCAAATATTCTTTTTGAAAAATCTCACCAGGGAAAAGACAAACTAATATTTCCTCTTGGAAATGTTTCAGACATTGAGTCTTCCCTGTATATTTCGCCATCTCTGGAGCTCTCAACTCAACTAATTACTATATGAGCTGACAGAGTCAGGTTGTGGAAGCAAGGAAGAAGAAAAGAAAATGACAACTGCATGTGTTGAAGTCCTGAGCAATAGCGCAGCCACTCGACTGCCTTGGCACACTTGTGATAAGAACAACACTACAATCGAGTTTTCAAATCCCCGACTAAATGCAGCCAACACAGCCACAGAGCTTTCTGATATCTCATGAAGTTCTGATGCTAATATACGCTAGAAGCATAGCAAATAACATAGTTATCATGCACAATCCCCCGATAACAGTATGTACAAAATGTTACTTTTGTAATTTAAATCAGAGACCCGTGTCAAAATCTCCATGTCATAACTAGACTTAAACTGGCATAGATTATAGAATTCAATGACTACAGTGTTCAAACAAAATCATCTAAGAGAGAACCATAAACTAATTAGGTGATTTGCCAATGTTATTAATGTGTATTAACGGTGCCATCAAAATTGCATTTCAATGTTTTTCTTTAAGGTCTTTCAACCTTCAAGGTCCTTCAGCTTTCAAGGAATTTCCATACAGTTAGAACATAGAGCTTTTCTTGATTGTTCATGCTCCAAAGAGAGAATTTGGACTCTTTTCACACCTAAACTAAATGCCAAAGAACAAACGAATACTCAATCATGGCAAGAGAATATTATACACCAACAAAAGCAGCCTTTGTAGTCTGTTTTCTAGCCCACTATGCAACCCTATTCTAGTCCCAATAATCAAATACACAGACAAAACAAAATTTATATTACAAATAATATGGATAAACAATCTCACACAGCTAACATGTGAAACCCCCACAATCCTCTACACTGAATGGGAACAAGCATCTAGCAATATTTTATTATTTCCAAGTTTGTTCAGAGAGACAATGAACAATAATATCCAACAGCTACATAATATAGACAGATTGAAGCAAGTTTCAAACAAAATCCTAAAAGAGACAGATATTCAATTCATTACTAATGTTCTTTGAACAGTCTGTGTGCATAAAAAATGAATTGTGAAGGCTATTTGCTTAGCTGTTTGATGATTTCTACCATGGATGAAGCTTTGATTTATGAAAATGATTATTAGCTTAAATAAGCAGCATGTTCAGATTTGATTGGTGTGAATGTTAGAATTGGTGAACACTTCGCAGGTTGAGGAGTTGACATTAAATTGTTACACCTACGGCTACGTCAATGTCACAATTGAGTTAATTATTTGTAGATTATTAGAAAACTAGTGATGTTAGAACTTTTACCTTGTTAGTTCTTCTTCTTCTTCTTCTTCTTCTTCTTCTCTTTCTTTGAAAGGTGAACCAATATTTAATCAAAACAAGTATTTTAATTAATAAGATATTGTATTGTCAAAAAAACTTTGATTAAATGATTGCTCACCTCTTGGGATGAAAATGCATGAGATTGTTGTTGATGTGACATTGGCCGAACAGTGGGATGACTACTAAGTAAATTAACAACCTATCATTCAATAAGAGACTTAAGTTGTATAGTAGCTCTGGGCAATTTAAAGTAATAACTAGTAAAAATAATAAAAATGCTTGCTGCCTATGTAATGGGTTCGAGGGTGCAACAACTGGTGCAACGGGCACCCCCGCAGCTTGCAATTGAGATTCCAAAATCTCAATTCGTGACTGAAAATCTGCGTGTATAGCCTGAATTTATTTCTCCATTACGTCATTCGTCTTCAACTCTAACTGCATTTGATACCGTTGAAGTTTCTTTTCAACTTGTTCTTGAACTCGAGTTTGGAAGATATGATTCTGCTCTTGTGACTGCCTATATCTACCTCCAAAAACATCAGTGGGGGATGGTCCCAATCCAAATGTCCGAACACGACCAGGTCGCTCCGGCCCTATAACTTGTGTGAAAATCTGTTCATTTAATGCAGCAGGGTCTGAAGACGATCCCTCCATGTGCTCCGTTAGCTCATTCATTTGAGTCTGCAATTTTGAATTCAATAATTTGCGTCCAATATAAATCATATTAAAAGTCCAATAAAGCAGTATCTCATATCGTAACTTCATTAACTGAATCACTATTGGAAGTACCATCTTTCATGTATGCGGCCATCCACACCTGTGGCCGACTAGCAGGAACCCCATTGTTCTTTTTTGTCTCCTGTAAATAAAAGATAGATAAAACAAAACATGTAAGACAAAGATGAGAAGATGAATTTTAAAGAAAATAAATTTCAATTTTCAATCTTATACATATTAAACTTGATTTAGTTTAGTTATAAGTTGAGCTAGCTAAGTTATAAGTTGTTTAACTTAAAAACTTAACAAATTTCAAAATATGTCCAAGATGTAATATCTAATTATACCTCCACTCGAACTACCGAGAAAGGCTTTCGGCCTGTTCTATGATGCAGTGCCTTCTTCTTCCGGATTTTTCTATGCTTCTTACTTGATTTCTGTTAAATATGAAATTCATTTGAGATATTATCAAAAATTATCATATATATACATTTTTTCACATAAATAAAATTGTACCGATGCACTCTGAGTGCCCCAATAGTAGACCAAAGCCCGCCACTGATCCTCATGTACTCTATCCGGTCGATGAGCCAACCTTTCTGCATCATTCTTGAAGGGTGTGCATCCCATATTTTTCACGCGACTTTTCCAATCTCTCTATTTCTTCCCAAATGAAGTCATTATTGTTCTCTTCATGGAATCATCTGCATTCGTATGAGCCTACATTACAATTATACACACTTGTAATATGCAATGTCAACTACACTTGTAATATGCATTTCATATGGAATCCAATTGTAATATGCATTTCAACTTATTTCATATTAAATATCTGTATTACCTTTATCTCCCTCCATATGTTATCTTTATTTTGCTGTGGGACATAATGTCAAGTCGTAAAAGTGAGTGGTGCAAGACTCCTATCTCGTGCCAAAACGCCCAAATGTGAAGCAAGGGGTGCGTGTCCTTCAATTACTTGATTCAACTCATTTGAAACAAGTTTTAAAACGCCATCGTCTAAAGTACCCCATTGACCATGCACATATGTGGGACCCCTTGTCTGCTTTTGTGTGGCTTGACTTGAGCTAGGACCTATGAAAAAACAAAAACAGGGCCCAAGAATTGATTAAATATAAATATATATATAAAGAACAGAAGGTAGATATAGAAGAGTGTACTGTTATTAAATAATGCATCACTAGTTCTTGTCTTGCTCAGTTGAATGCTAAAACAGAGAAGTGATAAAACATACATTGAATATAACACTCTTGTCTCTTCTTTGTTGTTCAAAACTTGAATTCCAGCTTACATTCAGAAATTGCGCAAAGAAAGTCCAAAACCAAAACAAAAACTGAGGTGTGCAACTTAGCAAGGCAGAGGCTTTGTAACCAGTAGTATCAAGTTGATTATCCTTGCTAGATTTACCAAGACATGTGGATTGCAGATCATTGTGTGTATCTATTGGGATTAGTCTTGATTAAATAAGGGTCAAGGAGATCTTGGCATAACAAAGAATAATGGGCAATCGTATCACTTGAAAATTTGATTTATTAGTATACAAACCATTTAGACATTAAACTGTTAGATATACACCTTGTTAAGATATTTTTCCCTGCACAGTTAACCTCTTCCATCCTGCTGCAGGTATGAACTTCCAGATTCACACCCTCTCCTACAAGGGGTAAGTTATTCCTCCTCTTCTTTATAGATTCCTCACAACTAAATGTCACCCTCTAAATTATTCAGCTGGATAAATGAGAACTCGATGATCCAAGCCCATACCTTCTTGCTATATGGACACCGGGTAAGAACATGTTAATTACATATTAAATTATTCATCTTATACATATTAAATTTGCCTGATCTCAAGAATCAGGCAAACTGTGCAGCGAAAAAACATGTTTCTCATGCAGTAGTGTGACAATGTACACTTAGAATCCCTATACTTAGAATCCCTATACTTCCACTAATGGTTAGAACTAGGACTGGTGCTGCTTCATTAAATTTTGAGTTAATTACACTTAGAATCCCTATACTTCCACTAATATCTCATTTTGATTCTTTTGGTTTCAACTGTGACAATGTACCTTTTACAATTTTAGTCAAGTTATAATATCATCCTTCCATCACGTATCCAATTCAACCCAACCAGTTACAACCAGTTTATTAAATAGGCAGAGTGAGTTGGTTTGTTTTAAATTCATAAACCCATTTTGAATTAGCTAGGATGCAGTGAGGGTTGCCTAGAGCAATTGCTTTCAGTTAAGCTAGAAACCTAGAACTAGCTCTATTGTCATCAATTATTCCATTTACGCAGATCCTATTGGATACAAGAATGAGGACTGCCAGCAGATCCTATTGGATACAAGAATAAAAAAATAAAATAGTTTAGTAAAATCTGAAAATAGTTATACGTACCAGCTGAAACTGATCCATGTAATGTACTACCACTACGTGATGTGGAGGAAGACTGCCTGGTGGATGCCATGATGCCGATGGATCGAGTATGACTCTCATCTTAAGTGTGGCATGAGTCTAATCTGAACTAGAACTATTAGAGCTTGATTGCTCACTCTCACTAGAAGAACACTCGGAGCTAGAACTCATAGATAATCTATAAAGAAACTACAAACATAAAAGTAAGGACATGATAATAAAGAAACTGCATTCAAAACAAAATAAGAGTACATGAAAGGTAAAAATGGCCATTTAAAGAAAACTACAAA